AAAAATGTTCCGGAGGGCTTGGCAGCGAAAGGGTTAACTCAGTTTACACATGGCACCATTGGTCAATAATGTACATGCTTTTCTGGATTAAAAAAAATAGCACTATTAAAATGCATATATGAGGTGAGTACTTATACTTTAGAACTGTGACAACGCATGTCAAGGGCAGAGGTCAGAATGCACCCTATGACACCAGTATATCTTGTGCATCTAGAATGGGCAGGTTTATCAGAGTTCCTAGAGGGGTCTGTGGTCTTTAGTCAAATGATTGTGTATCCATCAAGGCCAAGATTTGCACAGAATATTCCTTAGAATAAAAGGAGACATCTTGGTATGATTAAAAGTACACTCACTAGCAACCGAACAAAGCAGCGGTAGCCAAACTTCAGCCATCCATACCCCATGCATCTGCCCCTGGAAGTCATGCTCGCCACTGTTAGATTCTTACAACATCTTGTGACTAGTTCCACAACAGCTTGCGGGCTGAGGCTACCTCTGCCATGGAGGCATAGTTAAGAATGATTGAATCACCTGAACATTCATAAAAACATAGGTGGTAACTTGCGATTAATTTAAATGAGTTTTCTTTTGTGATTAATCCACATTAGAAAGGGTCAGTCAAGCAAAGGATGATATTCCGGTATAGTTGGTGTGCAGCTGGCTGACCCACTCACTGCCTTTTATATTTATCTTTGTGTATCTAATTTCTTACATTAAAGTAACATGGTAAAAGCACAATAGTGTAAGCAACGGAAAACTTCTCTGATGACTTAATGTTAGGTGTAGCTGTATAGACATTCATGGAAATGCAAACAAATCCAGCAATTAATGTGACGTGGTTCATTCTGAGATTACTAGGCTACACGTTTTCTACTAAGTGCATGCTGGAAACTATCCAAATACAGCAAATCAATTGTGCATACAAAGATTTAACCCCTTCGTGACTGACGACGTACAGTGTACGTCGCCAGCATCGGGGCTGTTTAAACAGACTCCCGGTGACTTTTGCCGCCGGGACTCTGTTTAAACTTGTAGAGCCGACTGTCGGCTTTACAACAGAAGCGATCCTGGCGACTTACCTGTCGCCAGATCGCTTCTGCGTCCCGAAGAAGGGGCCGCCCCCCCCCGCCGTGCTTCCCGGGCTCCGTTGCCCCTCCTACGGGCCCGGGACCGGCGATCTTTGTGTCCGCGGGGAGCTGGGGAGGAGGTCGACGAACTTCCGTTCATCGATCCCCT